TGAGCCATGGCAAGAAGTTGGGATTGGGCTTTTTTTAAATTCAGATTCTACTTTCTCGGAACGAAGCCCTGGTGAAGCTAACCTATAATTATTTTAGTGCCTAGATCCAACTGTACTTTGATGTGATGTATTAATGCCATTTTCAGACTGTTTGATCAGTGATTACAGATTGAAAGATTCCTGCTGTGCTGTATTCATAAAAAGAAAATTGGTTTTGATATAATTTTTTTTTCTTTGAAAACGGCTGTATGAGGTTTCATAGAGCTCTTTGACTGTCTTGGTCAGTTATTTATATTCAAAACTTATGTTGATAGCTTGTAATTCAAACAGAATTCGAAAATTAAAAAAAAAATCTGCCTAGCCACGAAAAACCTTATGAAATTGAACGTCAGAAAAATATGCATAATTTTAAAGAAACCAGGAATGTGAGATATTATAGAGTAATTCTACTCAATCAAAATTGAATGTTCAAATCGATTTCATTAAAACTACTGTTGACGAAATAATAACTTTTTCGAGAAAGTAGGGGCAAAAAAATAAATATTTAGAAAAAACATATATTCTGGAGAAAACTAATACTTGAAACTATCAGTTAGCCGTTTTCAGTGTTTTGAACCTCTAATTATTGTTTTCTCTCCTTTTTTGAGGTTTTCTTTACTGTTTTTTAGTTTTTGGGGCTCAGAAGCATAAATCTGGTTTAGGTATTGTGTTGTGTGTAATTATTGGTTTTTCGGCCGGTGTTCAGATAAAAAAGGTCTAGGTTGGTTTTGAGAGGTTTGGGAGGGCTCGAGAGAGATTTCTGTGTTTTGGTTGGCGTCCATGTCATCAATAACAGTTTTAAGCAGCTTTTTGGGTTTTTAATGGGTTTTCAAAAGTTTTTGGGCATTTTTTGGGATTTTGATACCTTGGTCACATTTTGACAAAATTCCCAACCCCAAACCCAGTCTTCAACCTGGTGGTCACATTTTGAATTCCCAAAATCTGCAAAAAAAATTGATCAAAACTGTTTTAAGACCCTTGAATCGATCTGCCCCGGAGTCTTTTTGAAGTTTTAGTGAGTGGAAATCTATCCAACAAAAACTTGGAAACCAGATCTGAGCATCGTAAATTCTTGCCTATTTCAGATCTTGTCCAGACATGGTGCATGTTTCGTTTGGACATGGACATGTCTGAATCAGGACTGAGGCAGGCATGGATTCCATCACAAAAGCAGATCTGCTCAAGGCCTGATTCAGACCTGGGGCACACATGGGTCAGACCTGTTGCAGATCTGCAACAGGTCTGACCCATGTGTGCTCCAGGTCTGAATCAGGCCTTGAGCAGATCTGCTTTTGTGATGGAATCCATGCCTGCCTCAGTCCTGATTCAGACATGTCCATGTCCAAACGAAACATGCACCATGTCTGGACGAGATCTGAAATAGGCAAGATTTTACGATGCTCAGATCTGGTTTCCAAGTTTTTGTAAGGTACGGGAACCTCATTGAACGAGTTGTCCAACAATCCCCCAATTATTTTTTTCGAAAACAAGAAATTTGCAAATCTTGTAATTGAGCCAATTAAAGTTTTTGGGTGAGTGCCTTTTTCACTAGTTCACGTTCAATTTTCTCTACATCCACCAGTAATTTTGTGTTTTTTGTATGCGGGCTATTTCTGGATTAGTTGATTTCCTAATCATGCACAGTTTCAATATGTTGAAGAAAAGAAACAAAAGCTTTTTCTATGAGCTGAAATCTGTAAAACAAACTTGTTTTGAGAAAAAAAAACATTTTTCGATAAAAACGGCTATTTGAGAATTTATAGGTTTTTACTGTTATGATCAGAATAAAATGATCATAATTGTGCTATGACAAGCATTTTCAGACAGGAAAAAAAACAATTATAGCAGTAGAGTTTTTTTGCTATGCTGAAGTGAAAAGAGAAAAATTGGTTTCAATTTTTTTTAAGTTCCGGACGTCTGAGCTATTTTAAACTCATTCTACTGTCATTGCCAAAAAATTCGTTCCATGTCAAGTTTTGTTCTCTATTGCATTCAGGCAGACAAAAACTGCGAATGCTTATTTTTAAACATTTCTTGTTAAGCTGAAATCATTGAAAAACAAAAAGATTCTGTGAAAAGTTTTTTTTTACAAGAACTCGGCAATCTAAACTAATAAAGACAATAACAAGACCTTGATCAAAAATCTATAAATGGAAAACTGCAACTGAATTCAACTTTTCGATACATTGAAAAGCAAACTTCCTGCTATGCTGGTGATTTACAAAAAATTTGATTTTGAGAAAAAAATTTTCCTTCATCAAAAAATTGGGCCAATTAAGCTTTCTTAGAATTAGTTGTCGAGTCAAAACCCTTAAGGTAAAAATTGTGAAATTCACTGCTTTTTAACTTATGAAATTTAAAACACTATCAGCAAAAATTTTTTCTGAGCCTTATAGAGAAATGTGTATCGGACAAAGGTCGAATTCGCAAATTATTCAGATAGTCGAAAACACTTTTCTTAATTAGGTTTTTGTTTGAAAAAACCGGCTTGTTTCGCCCAGCTCAGCTTCCGATTTGTTAGATCAAACTACGACCAAGTAAACTCATAACTTACTCGACGATTTATCAGTACTAGAAAAAAAATTGCAACAGCCTGATTGGCGGGAGAAAAAAGATCATTTCTCAAAGAAAATTTATCGGATTTCAAAAAAAATGATATGGTTGAGCTTCGCTTGAGCAGTTGCGTCAATCTAACTTGAAAGAAGACATTGCGCAAAAATTTCCATCAAAATCTCGATACTCTGCAATAAAGTGTATTAACTCTGAC